AAATGGGGGTATTGTTTTTACTCCGTTTCATGTTTGGTCTGATATCTGAAGATCGGCGAGAAGGAACTGTACGATATTTGGCAGATTGATGGATGGGGCCTTGGAGATTGTGTAGGTTGACTTTGAGCCCCTGGTGATTGACCTTGGTACTGCAGTTTAATTTTTTATTCTATTGTTGGCGCGTTATGGACTGTTTGTGCGATATTAAGGTAGCATGTAGTTGTTATCATTATGGTTTAGTGGTTTAAATTTGGGTTTCCTAGCTGTTTGCGTTTGATATTTACAAAATGTTTAACGTTGGTCTATTTGTGTTGAATGTTTGGAAAATCTGGTGGATGGTTTGGTATAATTTTTGGTATGTGGGTAGTTGTTGAGTCTCTTTGTGTTTTAGAGGACATTAGTAGCAGGTTGTCGTATATTTGTATTGCTTAATTTAAAAGGATTTCTACATTATCACCCCTATTTTATAGTAGTGTGGTCTTTGTTGACCCCAATTGGCACACAGTGTATCTATTTTTATCTCCTGTTTGACAGGCTATATATTTCTTTGGTCTGGTTATTTTTGGGTTACTTGGACCTTGCCGGCCTTGCTAATGGGCGGTTGTTTGTGTTGTGATTGAGAGGTCAATGACCTCACCTCTGCAGGATTGATATCTGTGCCTCTGTACCCCCCCCCCCCAACCTCTGTTACCAATTAGTGATGTAAATAAACTACCTCCGACCGCGTGGTCGGGGCCAGTCCTGAGTTGTATATCTGGGAGTGAAGTCGTCCCTCTCTCTCGTGACCACGTAACATCAATTTGCTCAGTTAACAAAGAGATCAGAGTAAGATTCCTTCATTACTATTCGCTATGACATGATATATATAAAACTAGAAAAGGCCAATATTTGCTTTGGAGCAAATACAGCGATGGGTTCACCACATTTTACGACATGGCAGGGAAAGAATGAGAAACACAAGGGAAAACAATGATTTACATTGATATAACTATAATATGAAGTAAAATACAACTAAAACAACAGTTGGATAGCTATTCCCTACTTTATTGGTTAGGATTTTTAATTGCATAATGCAAACTGTTGATTTTCAAAATAAAAAAAAAACGTCCATGCCCCGCATTCCAATGCTGGAGCAGGAAAGCTTGAAATACCTACCAAAACACTTGAATACAGACATACTGTCAGTATGGAAATTCTCTGTGCAGGTGTTAATCAAGTTAAATCCCAACAGCCAATCAGCAAGAAATGCTCTGTGCAGGTGGAAATGCTCTGTGCAGGTGTTGATCAAGTTAAATCCCAACAGCCAATCAGCAAGAAGAATAGAGGAAAGCTGCATGCCTATTGGTTGATGCCCTGCATTCCATTGTGATGACTCATGCCCAAACGTGGTAAACAAGGCACACTAACACAGTAATACATTTGCTATAACACAGCCAAAAAACTCAAATAAAACCATTCTAAAAGCCTGTATCACAATAATTTAAAAAACGCCTAGGGGTATTTGCCCACTGTACCTCCATACCAAATTTCAGGACCTTGGGCCCTAAAATGAAGAAGCTGAATCCATTTAAAAAATGGCAGGAGAAGGAGAAGGAGAAGGAGAAGGAGAAGGAGAAGGAGAAGAAGAAACATCAGAAAAAGCAATATGGGTTCACCACCACTTCGTGGTGTGGTGAACCTATAATAAAGTATACCAAACACATTGCAGGCTGCTCATTCATTTCTGTACTTATTTCTTTCAAATCAGAACATACAACTCTAAATAATTATAAGTAATAAAACTCACTTGAAATTTAGCTGAGTTGGTAGTTACATGCTAATATTAAAATTATACCAAGACAAAGCAACTCCTACATTATTCATGGCCATATAACGTCAAATTACATTTAAACCCATCTGCCTTCTTCTAACCATTCTTCATCTTCATCTGAACATACCTTCCATATACAATGAATACAGGTGATAACATAAATAAAACCTTACAACACCAACCTCCTCCATGGAGGGAAGATGTCCCTGACTTCTCCTTGTTAGTAATACATCTACTACCCATGATTGCTGCAATTCAGTCTTCAACGCCCCATCTGCAGTACCCAGACACTCCGCTTCAGGATGCTGGGGCGTGAGGCTACATGTAGAAACCTGTATGACCCGGATCCAAACCGTCAGTCGGGTGGTATTTTCAAACGCCATTCTTGGATAGTTCGGGGTGCGGGCCCCATACATTGAGGGGTGTTTCACCGAACGTCTCGAGGGACGCCGCATATTCGTCGTCTCGTACATTTGTAAGTACAAAACAACGTTCACATCTGCATTACTAGCATTGTTCACCACTATGATTTTACGAAAGCCCTTTTGATGCCAAAATAGGTCACAGTGTGTATCAGCCCGGAAATGCCAAGTCAAGTGTATGCTAGACAAAGGATGATATATGCCCTTCCCTAGACGCTACATATTATACCACATGATGTTTGCTTTGATTAGCAAGGATTATACGTTATCCCATCAGCAAATATCCATATATGATACTGTGCCATCCTACTAATCCGTAATCAAAATTGTACGCCAAATTAAGCACTGGTGATCAATCGGGGGAAAACGAAATACCCGTTCAGTGCTGAAGCCACTGCCCAGCATTGATTTCATGAGCAGGCTCAGCGCAGCCATGTCCTACATTCTGCAGCCTGTCAACAGCCTGAAAATAGCCAGAAGGTCACTCAGTTTCAGCCCGGCTCATTATGCCGGTATTGGGCGTATGTCGTTAATATGCTGGTCAGGTTATAGCCTAGCCTGGCAGCCAGCGTAGGCTCCCCGGCATCTCTGTGGTGCTGGGAGCACTGTCCGACCTCCCAGGTCACTTTGTTTTAATCATACTAAAATCAAATTCCAGCGCACTTTGTTTACTCATCATTCTGAAATTGAATTCCAGGGTCCCCACAAGGAATCACCGACCATGGCCATCAGCGTGTGGGGCTTGCTGCTGACGATAACAATCACCGTACAAGCACAGCCACAGCTCGCCTGTGAGAGTGTAGGAGATGGCAGTCCCGTCTGTAGCTGCGGGTCTGGACGTGTTTCCTGTAAAGACGCCGACTTGACACACGTGCCGACTGATATCCCACCAGACACTGAAACTCTGGAACTCTCCGGAAACAAGATTACGTCACTTCCGGCGATGGTCTTCGATGGTCTTCCACTGTTATCTACTCTCGATCTTTCTGATAATAAGATTTCATCTATAGAGGTTGGGGCCTTCGATGGTTTAGGCGGCAGTCTTAAAAACCTTAAACTGAATAACAATGAGCTTGTGAGTTTAAAGGAGGGCATATTTAGAAATCTAACAACTCTTGAATACCTGTATCTTAAGGACAATATGATATCAACGTTACAATCTGGTGTCTTTCGTGGATTGTTAGGCGTATTCAAGATTTCCTTTGATGGAAATAGTATTGCAAGTTTTCCAGCTGATATTTTTTCGGACGTGCCGCCCTTGCGGACGATAGAACTGCCGAGGAACCGTATAAAGAGCTTAGACGACATCCTACCTGCGCTTCCATCCAATATGATAAGTTTGGATCTGAGTGGCAACAATCTAGGGAACCTGCCAGCAGGAGCGTTTAGCGGCTTTCCGCGTCTGTCCAGTCTTCATCTGAGCTCCTGCAACATCTCAGACCTACCTCAAGATGTTTTTCTTGGTCTTAGTAGCCTTGCCTATCTCTATCTGAACGACAATGATTTGGTCGAGCTGAGGAATAACAGTTTTGGTGCCCATCGTCGGCTGGCAATCGTAAACTTCAGTAACAACAAAATCGCAAGAATTGAGGAAGGACTTTTTAGTAGGTTCCCGAGGCTAGCAAACATTGCACTTCAGTCGAATCAGCTAACGTCCCTGCCGCCCCGTGTGTTTGATAATCTGTCGAGACTGCGAGAAATTCGACTAGAAAAGAACAAGCTAGAAAGCCTGGATGATGCAAGCATCTTTAAGGACCTTGAGAGCATCTGGATCATCTATCTTCAGGAGAACAACATCAAAAGTCTCCCATCTGGAATCTTTAGCGAAGCAAACCTGCCAAATCTTAAGCTCCTCACTCTCCACTACAATTCCCTTACAGTCATTGAAAACGGTACCTTTGACAACCTTCCTAGTATACAAACAATTTATCTGCAGCATAATCCGCTGGAGCAGGTAGGCTGTGGGATGGTTCCATCTAAGGACAAGTCGGCGTCACTAGAAAGGCTGACTATTTCTTGTACATGTCACCTTAAACCACTGTACGATTGTCCCGGGTTCGATGACTGGCTTGGCGAGAAGACGATATGCGTGTCCCCGATCTGGGTATGGCGAGTCAAGCTAAAAGGAGTCTCGCGAGATAAATTGGTCTGTTCCAGGGCGGGGGCTAATCGTACAGACTGGATCGCCTTGGTCATCTTATTGCTGTTGTGTAATCTCTTTATAATTGCTTAACACCGTAGATTATGTAGGGATGCAATGATACCTTAGACTATCAAATAACGAACTGTACAAACCAGGAATGTTATGCCTTTAAGTGGTTTGCCGTATGTAACAAGCATGAAAGAAACCTGTATTTTAACTTCACATACCTGCCAGTTTCAGTTTTAGAGCTGTAGTACTGTAAAAGTTCTAGGTGTGCCATCTTCAAGTGAAGTCAGTAAATACTGTTGCAAAGATTACTGAGTCGAGGAGTTTTGACTGTACAGAAAAAATACCATGATTTATACAAAGACTCGTAACATAGGTCATTATGTGTCCGTGTCTCAAGATTCTTAGTATTTGTCAAATCCCTGGCAATAAATGTACGACCCATAATTTCTGCAATAAAACTTCCAAACCCCATCTGCAGTACCCAGATACTCCGCGTGAGGATGCTGGAGCGCGGGGCTTCATGTAGTCATTAATGATATTAGCTGCATGACCCGGATCCAAACCGTCAGTGTGGTCGTGTTTTGCACGCCAGTCTTGGTTCGGGGTGCGGGCGCTTCTGAGGGGTGTTTCGTTTTTACCGAATACCTCGAGGGACTTCATATATTCGTCATCTCGTACATTTGTAAGTAAAATACAACGTTCACATCTATCATACATGTACTAGTACGGTTCATCACTATGATTTTACGACAGCCCTTTTGATGCCAATAATAGGTCACAATGCATGTGTATCAGCTCGGAAATGTCAAGTCAAGTTTATGTGCTAGACCAAGGGCTGTATATTTTAGATGCTATATATTATACGAATGTTTGTTTCAGTAGCATGGATTACATGTTATTCTACCAGCAAATATATGCCTTGGAATATGATACTGAAAATATACCCTTTACTCTCTGGTTTAAAGCGTAATCAAAATTTTACGTCAATTAAGCACTAGTCGGGCTTGAAATACCGATTGACAGTGATGAAGCCACTGCCCTGCATTGATTTCACCAGCAGCCATGTCCTACATTCTGTAGCCTGTCAGAAAATAGCCAGAAGGTCACTCAGTCTCAGCCCGGCTCATTATGCAGGCATTGGGCGTATGTCGTTAATATGCTGGTCGCGTTATAGCCTGACCTGGCAGACAAACCACCGTAGGCTCCCCGTTCTCTCAGTGGTACTGGGAGCAGTGCCCGCCCGCCCATGTCGATCATTATACTAGGCCAGCGGAGCTAGCACGTTAATTAGTTCGCCTACGTTTGCAGTAATTACTCAGTAGAGAGGCTGTCTGAAAAGATTTAGCATGTCATGAGAGGCCTTTGTAGGACAGGGTGTTACAAACACCGACCCAGCATGTGTGGAGAATGGTGTAACCAGGCTCGTTCTAAACGTGACCTTGCTTGCCGTCTTATTTAACGCTGTACACACCAATTCTTGGTAGTACTAGTGGGCCGTAAAATCTAAGGAAAGTGGTTTCGAGGGTTCACGTTTCGAGAGTTCATATTGCTCATAATATGTTGCGAAATCACATTATTTACGTCCAATTATTGACTACAGAAAAATATGCAGCTCCTTTATATGATGAGGCTGTGATTGGTAATCTTTTGTAATCCTGTAATGTTTTTCTCATCATTCTAAAATTAAATTCCAGGGTCCCCACAAGGAATCACCAACTCCTGCAAGACCATGGCCATCAGCGTGTGGGGCTTGCTGCTGACGATAACAATCACCGTACAAGGACAGCCACAGCTCGCCTGTGAGAGTGTAGGAGATGGCAGTCCCGTCTGTAGCTGCGGGTCTGGACGTGTCTCCTGTAAAGACGCCGACTTGACACACGTGCCGACTGACATCCCACCAGACACTGAAACTCTGGAACTCTCCGGAAACAAGATTACGTCACTTCCGGCAATGGTCTTCGATGGTCTACCCCAGTTATCTACTCTCGATCTTTCTAATAATAAGATTTCATCTATAGAGGTGGGGGCCTTCGATGGTTTAGGCGGCAGTCTTAAAAACCTAAAACTAAACAACAATGAGCTAGTGAGTTTGAAAGAGGGCATATTTAGAAATCTAACAACTCTTGAATATCTGTATCTTAAGGACAATATGATATCAACGTTACGATCTGGTGTCTTTCGTGGATTGTTAAACGTATTCAAGATTTCATTTGATGGAAACAGTATTTCGAGTTTTCCTGCTGATATTTTTTCGGACGTGCCGCCCTTGCGGACAGTAGAACTGCCGAGGAACCGTATAAAGAGCTTAGAAGACATCCTACCTGCGCTTCCATCCAATATGATAAGTTTGGATCTGAGTGGCAACAATCTAGGGAACCTGCCAGCAGGAGCGTTTAACGGCTTTCCGCGTCTGTCCAGTCTTCATCTGAGCTCCTGCAACATCTCAGACCTACCTCAAGATGTTTTTCTTGGTCTTAGTAGCCTTGCCTATCTCTATCTGAACGACAATGATTTGGTCGAGCTGAGAAATAGCAGTTTTGGTACCCATCGTCGGCTGGCAATCGTAAACTTCAGTAACAACAAAATCGCAAGAATTGAGGAAGGACTTTTTAGTAGATTCCCGAGGCTAGCAAATATTGCACTTCAGTCGAATCAGCTAACGTCCCTGCCGCCCCGTGTGTTTGATAATCTGTCGAGGATGCGAGAAATTCGACTAGAAAAGAACAAGCTAGAAAGCCTGGATGATGCAAGCATCTTCAAGGACCTTCAGAGCATCTGGATCATTTATCTTCACGAGAACAACATCAAAAGTCTCCCATCTGGAATCTTTAGCGAAGCAAACCTGCCAAATCTTAAGCTCCTCACTCTCTACTACAATTCCCTTACAGTCATTGAAAACGGTACCTTTGACAACCTTCCTAGGATACAATCTATTGATCTGCAGCATAATCCGCTGGAGCAGGTAGGCTGTGGGATGGTTCCATCTAAGGACAAGTCGGCGTCACTGCAAAGGTTGACTATTTCTTGTACATGTCACCTTAAACCACTCTACGATTGTCCCGGGTTCGATGATTGGCTTGGCGAGAAGACCAAATGCGTGTTCCCGATCGGGGTAGGGCGAGTCAAGCTAAAAGGAGTCTCGCGAGATAAATTGGTCTGTTCCAGGGCTGGGGCTAATCGTACAGACTGGATCGCCTTAGCCATCCTATTACTGTTGTCTAATCTCTTTATAAGTACTTAACACCGTAGATTATGTAGGATTGCAATGTTACCCTAGGCTATCAAATAACGTAATGTAAAAATCTATTGTGTCTTATGTAACAAGCTTTAGCAAAGAAACGATCAAAAACATGTTTTAACTTCACATGACTTCTACTTTCAGTTTTAGAGCTGTAGTACTGTAAAAGTTCTAGGTGTGCCATCTTCAAGTGAAGTCAGTAAATACTGTTGCAATGAGCACTGAGTCGAGGAGTTTTCATTGTTAAGAAAAATGCCATGATTTACATAAAAACTCGTAACATAGGTCATTATGTGTCCGTGTCTCAAGATGCTTAGTATTTGTCAAATCCCTGGCAATAAATGTACGACCCATATTAATTTCTGCAAGAAAACTGCCACACCTCATCTGCAGTACCCAGATACTCTGCGTGAGGATGCTGGGGTGCGGGGCTTCATGTAGCGATGAATTACATAAGATGCATGACCCGGATACAAACCGTCAGTGTGGTCGTCTTTTGCACGCCAGTCTTGGTTCGGGGTGCGGGCGGCACTGAGGGGTGTTTCGTTTTCACCGAATACATCGAGGGCCGTCGTATCGTCATCACGTATATTTGTAAGTACAAATCAACGTTCACATCTGCCATACTAGTATTTTGTTGATCACTATGATTTTACGAAAGCTCTTTTGATGTCAAAATAGGTCACAGTGCACTAGTGTGTATCAGCCTGGAAATGCCAAGTCAAATATATGTGCTAGACCCAAGGACTATATAATGTCCTTTAATACGTAGACGCTATATATATATACACCAATGTATGCTTATTTTATTAGCAAGGATTGCATGCTATCCCACCGGCAAATATTCTTTGGGACATGTACATGATACTGATTTCCATCCTTTACTGTCTATTCACGTATTATCAAATTGGTACGCCCAATTAAGCATTCAGTCGAGGAAGAACGACCCGTTGAACAGTGCTGAAGCCACTGCCCTGTATTGATTTCACCAGCAGCCATGACCTACATTCTGCAGCCTGTCACTGTTGTCAGAAAATAGCCTCAGTCTCAGCCCGCCGGCTCCCTGGCTCATTATGCAGGCATTGGGCGTATGCTGGTCGGTTATAGCCTGGCCGGCAGCCAAACCACCGTAGGCTCCCCGTTCTCTTAGCGGTACTGGGAGCAGTGCCCGCCCGCCCATGTCGATCATTATAGGCCAGCGGAGCTAGCACGTTAATTAGTTCGCCTACATTTGCAGTAATTACTCAGTAGAGAGGCTGTCTGAAAAGATTTAGCATGTCATGAGAGGCCTTTGTAGGACTGGGCCGGTGTTACAAACACCGACCCAGCATGTAACCAGGCTCGTTATTTCTAAACGTGACCTTGCTTGCCGTCTTATTTAACGCTGTACACACCAATTCTTGGTAGTACTAGTGGGCCGTAAAATCTAAGGAAAGTGGTTTCGAGGGTTCACGTTTCGAGAGTTCATATTTCTCATAATATGTTGCGAAATTACATTATTTACGTCCAATTATTGACTACAGAAAAATATGCAGCTCCTTTATATGATGAGGCTGTGATTGGTAATCTTTTGTAATCCTGTAATGTTTTTCTCATCATTCTAAAATTAAATTCCAGGGCCCCAAAAGGAATCACCAACTCCTTCAAGACCATGGCCATCAGCGTGTGGGGCTTACTGCTGACGATAACAATCACCGTACGAGCACAGCCACAGCTCGCCTGTGAGAGTGTAGGAGATGGCAGTCCCGTCTGTAGCTGCGGGTCTGGACGTGTCTCCTGTAAAGACGCCGACTTGACACACGTGCCGACTGACATCCCACCAGACACTGAAACTCTGGAACTCTCCGGAAACAAGATTACGTCACTTCCGGCAATGGTCTTCGATGGTCTTCCTCTTTTAACTACTCTCGATCTTTCTGATAATCAGATTTCATCTATAGAGGTGGGGCCTTCGATGGGTTAGGCGGCAGTCTCGAGGATCTTAAACTAGACAACAATGAGCTAGTGAGTTTGGAGGATGGCATATTTAGAAATCTAACAGCCCTCGAATACCTGCATCTTAAGGACAATAAGATATCGACTTTAAGTTCTGGTGTTTTTCTTGGATTGTCAAGTCTTTACCAGATCTTCCTTGATGGAAATAGTATTTCGAGTTTTCCCGTTGATATTTTTTCGGACGTGCCGTCCTTACTGGCAGTAGAAGTACCCAGGAACCGTATAAAGAGGTTAGACGACATCCTACCTGCGCTTCCATCTAACATAATAAAGTTGGTTCTGAATGGCAACAATCTAGGCAACCTGCCAGCAGGAGCGTTTAGCGGCTTCCCACGTCTTGGCACTCTTGAGCTAAACTCCTGCAACATGACAGACCTACCTCAAGATGTTTTTCGTGGTCTCGATGGTCTCTCCTATCTCTATCTGAACGACAATGATTTGGTCGAGCTTAGGATTAACAGTTTTGGTGACATTCGCCAGTTGGCAATCGTTGACTTCAGTAACAACAAAATCGCAAGAATTGAGGAAGGACTTTTTAGTAGGTTTCCCAGGCTAGGAAACATTGAGCTTCAATCGAATCAGCTAACGTCCCTACCGCCTGGCATATTTGATAATCTGTCGAGACTGCGAGAAATTCGACTGGAAAATAACAAACTAGAAAGCCTGGATGATCCAGACATCTTCAAGGACCTTCAGGATCTCTGGATCATCTATCTTCAGGAGAACAACATCAAAAGTATCCCACCTGGGATCTTTAGCGAAGCAAACCTGGTCAGTCTTAAGATCCTGGGTCTCCATTACAATAACATCACAGTCATTGAAAACGGTACCTTTGACAACCTTCCGAGTGTACACTCCATCTACCTGCAGTACAATCCGCTGAAGACAGTGGGCTGTGGGATGGTTCCGACTAACGAATCGTCCCCGGATCTATTACAGTTTACTGTCTCGTGTACGTGTGACCTGGAGCCGCTCTACGATTGCCCCGATTTTGATAATTGGCTTGGCGAGAATACGATATGCTTGTCACCGATCTGGGTTTGGCGCGTCCCGCTAAACGGGGTCTCACGTGATAGTATGGTTTGTGCTGGGGCGACTGCTATTCTTACAAACTGGATTATCTTGGCCACCCTATTGTTGTTGTCTAACCTCTTTATGAGTACTTAATATAATATGATAGCTTATGTTTTAGAGTTGTATACCACTGTATACACTGCTATATGCTACATTAGGCTATTAAAATAACTTACTGTACAAACCAGGTGTATTTGCTGTATGAAACAAGCCAGGAAACAGTAACACTAACCCAAGCAAATTTCAAAGACAACCAGAACACCCAATGGATGGACCCATATAAGTGTTGAAAAATTAGAATGTAGCCCTCAGGGCACCTATGTGAACGTTTACAAGTCACTGAGCTTTTAGAACGTTAATATTGTGGATATGAATACTATGCAAACGCAATGATTTTCTTGGTATATGCAGTTCTACGTGTACCAGCGTGAAAATCAATAAATACTGTTGCAAATTTACTGAGTCGAAGAGTTTTGATTGTATTTTAGAAAATGTGATGGATGATTTGCATAATTTAAAGACTTTTACATTCGACTTAAATGGACCGAACATACTCTTTCAGTACCGTTCTAGCTCAACTCTCAGCCCTAATCATTATTTTTATTAGTCGAAAAATCCAGCTACGTCCAAAGTCTGGTGCAATACCGTCTGACGAAAACACTTCGTTACGCATTGGGTAATCAGGGGATTCAACTGTGACCTTTGGAGGTTATAGGTCATTAAAGCGGTCTGCTGCAACTTCCGGTCTTTGTCTGTCGTCCGTTTAGCGCCGTTATTCACAGATCAGGTGTTTTAAAGACGCCGTGACGGTCTGGGAAGGACATACGTGAACTTGAAGGTAAAAGGACTGGATGGGTAACAACTTAGGTGTCATAAGATGAGTCAAAAGCCAGCATATGTAACGTTATGTCTGCGTGCGATTATGTATAGTTTGCATCTGCGCGATTTTCGAGGATCAAAAAATTTGTTTTATATCAGAAAGCTATCGTATTCTGTCCAGGTTGAAAAGACACAAGTGTCAAGTAATGTTGTTGGGAACTAGATGCTGCTATGGTATAAGCCTGTGTCCATAAATTGATATTTTAATTATTCTGCAAAGCCCCCCTCCCCCATTCAATTGGTACTGGAATTTGGTACACATACATTATACATGAGCTATCTGTAGCTGGTAGCCGAATTAATGAGAAAATGCTATTTATTTAATAATAATTCCATCCCAGTGTGGTACATGTAACTGAGGGGAATTTTATATTGCAGCATTTGGAAGTCAAGTGAAGGTAATCGTAATTAAAGGACCTTATTTGCATAATGACATAATATATGAAGAAGATGCTATAATAGCTTTCTTTGTTAAGACAAGGACATTATACACAGATAATGCCCTTGGTTAAGATAATGCTGCCATTGGGTGGAGAAAATAATCAATTGATATATATTCATGCAGACGAGGATCTTACTTCCATAATCAATGACAAACCTTTATAATTTGTCAGTTGTGCATGTTAACATAATTTGGTTAAGGTATGAGCTCATGCACATGAACTCTAGTTTCGGTATTATATTGTTTGACAATGCTATTTTCAACTTTACAGAATTGGTAGCAGAATTTGCATTCAACATAAGCATGGCAATGCCAGCAATAGACATCAAAATTGAAGAAGAGGATCCATGTGAAGAAGAAGGGGACAACTCCTTGAAAACAGACAAGACACGCGGCAGTAAGAAATCTCATGAGTGCGTATGTTGCGGTCACGTGTTCTCGAGAGGGTCGGATCTGAAGTGCCACATGCGAATCCACACCGGCGAGAAACCCTACCTGTGCGAGGAGTGTGGCAAGATGTTCACTCGACGACAGGACCTGAACAACCACCTGCGGATCCACACCGGTGAGCGACCCTACACGTGCGAAGAGTGCGGCAAGACGTTCGCCCAGAAGACGGCCTTGACGACCCACATACGCACCCACACTGGGGAGAAACCCTTCATGTGTGAAGAGTGCGGCAGGCAGTTTGGTAGCGCCGCCCAACTCAGAGGCCACATGCGAACACACACTGGAGAGAAACCCTACACCTGTGAATCGTGCGGCAAGGAGTTTCGTCACCAGTGTAACCTCAGGAGACACAAAAAGATCCACTTGGGGTTAAGACCCCACAAATGTGACATTTGCAATAAGGCGTTTTCGCAGCGAAGTAGTATGAAACTCCACATGCACACCCACAGCACCGAAAAGCCCTACAGTTGTGAGCTGTGCGACAAGCAATTTGGCCACGTGGAAAATCTCAAGAAACACAAGAAGACTCACACTGGGGAGAAGCCTCACAGCTGCGATGAGTGCGGGAAGAAGTTTAGCCAGCTGTCGAACATGAAGAGACATAAACTAACCCATACCGGCGAGAAACCCTACATGTGTATCATCTGTGGCAAGCAGTTTACACAGAATGTTACCCTGCAAGCGCACAAGAAGAAACACACTGATGTGATGCCCTACATGTAAGAGGTGAAGTTAGCCTAGATGCCAGACAAAAAGCATGCCATCCAGTACCAATCCCTTTGCCTATATATCCTTTAGGTGAAGAATATACATGTATCATATGTCCCTGTCCAGAGAAAGCCAGCCAGTATACAACGATTTACCCAGATCAGATACACATGTTACTCCAAAGCTCAGTATCTGAGTGTAGGCCCCAACAATGGAGCAGTAGTACTAGTAGTACTATGAATGTGTTTGAGTAAGACTAAACAGAGCAGTAGTTTGTGAGGCCATGACTATGTGAAGGTAAGGTAGACATTACATGTATACATCTGCTAAAATGCAAATGTTCCCTTTTTAGTTGACAGCATGTGTTTTCTGTGTTGCTCCCACTGCAGATCAACTATAGGACTAATGATGGCTTGATGTTTGACTCTAATATGCACTTTTATGATAACTTGTACTATGTTAGGTTATTTGATAGAATGTGTAGTACAGTGGTTAAGAATCTTATTTTTCTTTTCTGTTGACCTCAGTCAAAGCACTTTTTCATTGGTAACTACACTGTGGTGTAATTTGGCATTTGTTCAAAATAGCCAAGAATAGAATTTACAGTTTTGTCATTAAACCCATATTACTTCTGATTTAATGCTATATTCTAGTATATTTTTATATAGTTTTATAACTAGTTTTTTATTAGTATTACATTGTACTATTATTTCAGTTTGTTGTTTTATCATACTTCTCATGTTGATATGTATCTACAAAAGTTGTTCATGTTATATCTTGCTTCAGTATTTTGAATAAGCACAGCTAATATGTAGCAATAAAAATGTATACTATTGTATGTACAAATATTACACTAAGAATGTATAAGTATCTAACACATGCATGCATTTCTCAATGTATAGTACATATTACTAGTATGTAACGTTATATTATATTATTGGCGCATGCACTGGATTTCTTGCTACATGTATTTACTTGCAGTGGAGTATCCAGTACTGCCTAAATAAATTTATCATTTTATATTTGAAGTGTGTTGAATGTTCACATTTGCTTAAAAGTTTTACAGTAATAATAAGACATTGTCAGATTTTTACTCTTATGTCAGCGCGTGATGCAAAAATAATCCTTGGCTTCCTGAATTCCCCCATGTTGTCCTCGAATTCCTGAGAACCTTTTTGTCTGCTGGTTCCGTTTGGAAGAAGCTATCTGATTGGCCCTTCCCTGGTCACGTCTTTGACCAATAGTCAGACTTTCATCACTCGTCACCGTTTGGCTGACACGTTCAGAACCGAATCGGGTAATCAGGACATAATTTCCGTGACCTACATAGCAGACGACTAGTACTTCCGGGTGAATCGTGTTTTGCAGAAGGGTGTGGACCACTGCACATCACATGTACAAGAGACCTTTGTGTCGACGTTTCGGTACAAAATACAGGCCAGCGTGCAGGTAGGCAGAGTAGGTGGGTTATATATGGTTAACTATTCGATGCGCATTGTTGCTTTACGTTGAATCGGGACAGCTTTGTTGTCAAGTTATATTTTTTTATCGGCGTGGCTATTTACACTCCCGGAGTGTATATAAAAAACAAATAGATTTTATTTACACTCCGAAATACTAGCCTTCTTGGTAGGCCCAAAACCTGGGTTTTTGTGAGTGTTTGAGGATTCAGGGGCACCAAGTTTAAACCTCGGTCTTCAAGTTTATCTTAGTGGATGATGAAAATCAGAAAACAACACGGAAATCCCCACCGAAGTTCGAAAACACAGGGTTTTGACCTACGACCCGAATGTCAGCCAATCAGCACTCGACAGGGATTTCCCGCTATTTTTCGTCTCTCGCGCCAACATGGCTGCCGCGCCGTCCCTACTGAAGTTAGGGGACGAATTTCTCACTTGGGCAGAGTTTAAGGCAGCACTGGACAACTATCAAGAAACAACACACGCTGAGCTCAGTAAGATCAGTAGCAAGAAGGTG